GCTATCGCCCGCCCGTGCTCTAACCTTTTATTGACAATCCGCAAGAAACGCAAAAGACGGGACTATCGCATTGCCCGCAAAGCCGCCTTCGCTCGACCAGAGCCCGGGTTTTCACTGTACGAAGGCCGCACTCGCGGCAAGAAGCTCAAGTACACATATTCAGATGACGAGGATATCTTTTCCGACGAGTTTCCCTCGACAAGACGATCGACACGGAACGCTTCCGGAATCTCGACACCTGCAGAACCTGTGGGACCCAGATATACAGCAAGTGGTAGACAGATACGCGCACGAGCAGGTGGTCTGTATGGCGAGAGCCTCCTTAGTGGCCAGCGCGGGGAGGAGGACGAAGAAACCGGTAGACCCCAAAGGTCTCGGGCGACTCGCGCAAATGGCTATACGGACTACAACATGGACGAGGAGTCGGATGCTGGTCACTCCAGTGGAAACGAATGGCAAGGTGGCGAGGAAGAGGAAGACAACGATTTCGAAGGCGACGATGAAGGCGATTTGAGTGGAGACGAGTCGATCGTAAACGGACAAGATCGGAGTCTGGTGGTGCAGTTGAGATACGGCAAGGGCAAAGTACCAAGCAGCCCTCACGAGCCTGTCGAGGAGCCGTCAGCGGAGAAACTTCAAAGTGCGCATGCAGACACAGCAGACCCGTCAACGGCCCCTGAAACTCAGCCTATGAGTCAAGTGCCGGACTCTGAGACCAACAGACAGACAGGTACCGCAGAGGCGCAAGCTCCGACTGTGGATGTCCAGAAAATGCCCAGCATTGTGCCGATGAACACAGGTACTGATGAGCAGAAGGACAATCCGCTGAATGAGCTTAACGGTCAACAGCAGGAGACGCGTGAGGGTGCTGAACAGCCTTCCGGAACCGACTTGTCGCCAAATCAAATAGCTCCCATCAACGCTCCAAATGAGACAGGTTGAGATTCCTTGAATGACAGCTACTTCACGTTTCTTACCAAAAGCGATGTCTTCTCCTGACACTTGAATAGTGTCCTGCGGCGCAGTGTTGCCATTTCGAAAAAATCAATACGAATTCAGGCAAAACAGGAGTTTGTTTCCATCGAGAGTTTGTCAGGCTTTTGTTGAGCGGTATGTTCACGGTCAAAGGTCCATCTGACCTGGAGTTCGCAATGGTTCTTATAGCAGGATGATTTTATATGAGGCTCAGGGGACATGTCACACCGAGCCCCAGAACTCGGCCGCTGATCCAGGCGCAATGACTAGTGCTGATTCAAAACGTTAAATGTATATTATTATGAAGGCGAGATGAAACGCATTAAAGGTTAGACGAGAATCGCGAAGTATGGTTCCACGTTTTGCTTGCATGTCGACTATGCTATGCAATATGAAGACATTGATAATGAAGAAGTAAAGAACGCCAAATCCCTAACTCCAATTATGCAATTCGAGTCCCCGTCGCAATATGGGAAAATTGATTTAGAGAGATTAGTCTGCACCCGCATTTGAGAATTGCGCCGTGTAGAACTGTAAGAACTCCGAGAACGTTAGCTGTAGATCAACTTGATTCTTGAACCGTATCTCAGAAATAGGCATATTCTCACGCCAATGTCCCGCTTGGCCACATTGAAAGATGTGCACTTACGTCTTCAACCTTGGCAGCAAGTTGAGGGTCCTTTGTTGTACCCAGGGGAGGAAGCTTCCAATTATTGACTTCGTACCACCACCTTCGTAGTCTGCTACCGAGCGTCTGGCCACTGAGAGAAGCTGTGCGATTCCAGTAACGCCAGCCAGAAAGCGCAAGAGTCCAAAGAGTACCCTGGATGAGTGGCAGAAGAACCTAATATTTTGCAACCCATTTCATCAGCATTACATTGATTCGATTCATATAGCAACAATGAGATCTCTCAACTCATTGTCGAGTATCCGTACCTGGTCCCGAATGGTAATCCATGCAACCCGTCCCCATGTATCGGCACCTCGCAAGCTGGCGAGATAGCTCTGTTCGAACCGCAGATCGGGCAAAGGAGGAAGAGTATGACGGCGTGAAACGGGTCTAACCATGCGACTGGGGTCAACAATATCGGAAGGGATGCTGTGAGCTTCGGAGGAAGAGCGTCGTGCCACTGGTCGCTTCTCCGAGGCGGCTGTTGGAGGATTGATGTCGTGTCTCGGGGATGGATCCCGCTTGATTGAGGCGGTTTGGATGGTTTCTGCCAGTTCTAAAGCTGGGTCGGCCATTTTGAGAGGCTGTACGATGATATATAAATCAGTAATCCCAGTGAGTTTTGTAGATGTCGGTTATCGGGGATTGATTCTTGTGTACTGTGTAGGTACGCCGGACTTTGGAGGTTATCCAGCCTCCTGACGCAACAAATCATAAGGACCGCTTGGACCGGGCAACTGGCCGCCGGCCGCCGATTTTACTACGGGCAAACTAAACCTTTCCACCTCGCTGACTGCCCCTCCTCGAACACCCCGCCAGGTATTATTATTAGTTCTCCTCCTTCTCTCCTTCTCTTTCTTACTTCTCGTCATTGCGCTTCCTATATTTTCCCTTTATACGTATCTTATCATCAATTGCAACAGGAAAAATGGCCGCTGCTCAGGGATACCCTTTTCTGTGCTTGGAGAACCCTCTCCTAGGTGCGTTTTATTTGACCTCACCTCTCCGACAAGGGACAACAACTATATAACAGACGTGGATTGAGTATGCTGACTTTGAAGGGTCTTAGATATCCAAGCTGTCGGGTACGTCACTGATGGACGACGTCGGAAAGTCGGAGCCAATTGGATATCAACTGATTGAACCTTGTACAGTGATGCCGCTCTTCTGGAAAAGTACGGTCTTAAGGACAACGATGCCATCCTTGCCGAGGAGAAGCACATGGGACTCTACGATGAGCTCCTTAGCCGCGATGCTAAGCTCATTGCTGGTGGTGCTGCACAGAACACCGCCCGCGGTGCCCAGGTATGCCGAGTGTAGATCACCTTTCTTCAATCTGGGCTGTTGCTGATCGAGGATACAACCTAACAGTACATGCTCCCCGAGAACTCCGTCATGTACATTGGCTGTGTCGGTAAGGACAAGTACGCCGATATCCTCAAGGAGGCCTGCAACCAGGCTGGTGTCCACACTGAGTATCGTGTGGACGATGTCCAGCCCACTGGCAAGTGCGGCGTCATTATCACTGGTCACAACCGTAGCATGTGCACTCACCTTGCTGCGGCAAACGAGTACAAGATTGACCACTTGAAGCAGCCTCACGTCTGGTCTCTTGTCGAGAAGGCTCAGTACTACTATGTTGGTGGATACCACCTGACAGTCTGTGTCCCTGCCATTTTGGCCCTCGCCGAGGAGGCTGCTGCCAAGAACAAGGTGAGCAAGATGGCCTTCCTTCTGCGTCCCGCTCGACTGAGGTTGACGTTTTGGAACTCAGGTCTTCATGCTTTCTCTTTCCGCCCCCTTCATTCCTCAGTTCTTCAAGGACCAGCTTGACAGCGTCCTGCCCTACACCGACTACACTTTCTGCAACGAGACAGAGGCTCGCACCTACGCTGAGACCCACGAATGGAATACGGATGATGTTGTCGAGATTGCGAAGAAGCTCGCTCAGCTTCCCAAGAAGAACACCAGCCGTCCCAGAGTTGCTATTGTCACCCAAGGCACTCTGCCCACAGTCACTGCTACCGTTAAGCCAAACGGCGAGGTTGAGGTCAAGGAGTTCCCTGTGCACGAGATCCCCAAGAGCAGCATCAACGACACCAACGGCGCTGGGTAAGTCGTCATCAGTCATTCTACTCATGGTCAACAGAAATTTTGTGCTGACGAGTGCTGTTTGTAGTGATGCGTTTGCTGGCGGCTTCTGCGCCGGTGTTGTTCAGAACAAATCTCTTGAGGAGAGCATGGATATGGGCCAGTGGCTCGCCAGCCTGAGCATTCAAGAGCTGGGACCTTCGTAAGTCTCCCATTCATCTTTCTGATCTACCGAAGACCTTGCCGAAAATGGGCCGTATTTGCGAGGGCCCGCGTCCGTTTCCAAGCTACTTCCAGTTTCATTGTGCTGGGGGACCACGGTGCAAGAATCATTTCAATGAATGACGACTAACATCATGACTTTGCCATATAGTTTCCCCTTCCCCAAGAAGACCTACACCCCCAGCCGCTCATAGAATACCAACCACTTCTAATATGGACGCCCGGCAAGCCATAAGGGGCTATTGCAAGCTTGCAGCATAAAAATATTCCTGGATGATTCAACCCTCTATACCCACTTGTCCTTGACTTAACGTCTTAGACTTTTTTTTTTTCTTCTTTCCAAGATCACTTCCTCCAAAGATTGCGTACAACACTACGCAGGTTTACGAGTTAGGGTACCGTTGATACGCGGAAGCCGCAGGCTGGTGACGTTCTCAACAACGATGTAATGAACGAACCTTTCGGTCTTATATATACTCAAATTCAAGAAATAGAAATGAGCCATAATTTCATGTCCCTTGTTTTGACCTGGACGTGACAGGAATTTGACGATGTTGGCATCGGAATTTCATATAGCTCTCTCCTAAAAAGGCAAAGAGGAAGCTAATCAATTTCCACAATTTTGAAAGCACTCGAAGAAGTACAAATGATAGCATGGCTCGTTATTATTGTAAGAAGTAGCCGTCTCCATCAGCGTGAAAAAGTACCAAAGGTCTACCCCGAAGTCAACTGTCTGTTTCTCACCAGATCCGACTTTCAGTCCCAATCGACGGGACGCCCTCACCACCATTGTTGGAAGGTGGGATAGAAGAGTGATTGCATGACCTAGTCCGCTTGCATGAGATAACAGCAACAGTCGCGATGCGGAGCTGCTCAATAGCCGACAAATTGTCCCAGCATTTATTTTACCGGAGCTAGACTGAGGGAGAAAACCGGACGATCCACCCGCTCCCGGATTTAAAAGATGCGTAAGGGGGTTGTGATCGCGTCCTTTGGCCTCTGCTCTTGTTGTCAATTCACAAACCAAGGGGTCTCCTGTGAATCACCCGCCCTGACCGTAAGATGGAGTCTGCCCGATAGCGCCGAAATGGGAAGTAGATCGACGACTGGTTGGTCCAGAACTGGGAAAGCCCGCTCCAGAGGATAATGTACTAGCCAGGAACGCATCGTTGGCCCATGATGCATTTGCTAAGCCGCTTGACATGGGCTGGCTTGGTACTCCGAGAGAAGGAGGGGAAGCCGCTCTTCCCAGAGGACTTCTATCCCAGCCTGTTCCCGAAAGACCATGATGTGCTGCAGGATTTGAGGGTGACATCCAAGGGGACATTGAGCTTGACCCGCCAAGAAGGTTATGCATTGAGGTTTGTCCAGCAAGGCTTTTCCGGAAGATGGGCTCGTTTGTAGTCATATCGTGGGATGCATGGCGAGGGTCTGGGCTTCTGGTGTTTGCTGGATTGGCTGGACCTGGATGTTGTCCCAAGCCTGGAGGCGTTCTTGGAGCCGAGGATCCACCGACGTCGGGTGACAGTCCGGTGCTCCAAATACTTGGGATACCAGGAAGGGTAGGTCGAGAAGTGTAGGACTGGGACAGTGGAGCTGCTGACCCAGCTGTGGGGTTGGGCATTGAGAGCTGCAGGCCAGGAGGTGCAATAGGAGGATAGTGAACAGGGGCATCTGTCTCGCGATTGGTCGCATTGAGGCTCGACTCGAAGAAATCGCTGGGGATAGATTGCTGATTGGTGCTTCGAAGGAAAGCCAGCTGGTCCGGAAGTGCAGGAGTGTTTTCGTAAGTGTCCGACTCAACCAGCCGTTCGACACCTTCGACAATGCGATGCATATTAGCGGACATAGAAGCAGACGCAGACTGCGAACCGCCAAAAGTGCTCCTTGAATCCGCAACGTAATTGGCGTCTTTGGTCGCCTGCTGAACATCCTCTCGTTCAACGCTCGCCGTGGAGAGCGTGTTATGATGGCCGGAGGGGCTGGCGAAGAATTGGGAAGGAAGGCCCTCTTCTTTGTAGATAAAGGTCTTCTTATCCTCATCATCCACAAGGGCTATAGGGATTCTCTGAAATCGCAAAGCAGTATCAGTAAGTAATCGAATTGGTACAAAAGAACAAACAGGACACTTCGTACATTGCTCACAACTAGGTCGAGACCGTCAATCACGAATTCACGGATCCGGTACAGCATCTCAATGTTGGGATGACTTCTTTCGACTCCAACGTCGGTCATTCGGGGCTTCTGCTGGCCAGTAGAACTCAAATAGCGGCGGGACGCGGCGTCTTTGTTGAGCGGGGCAAATCCCAGAGTCTCCTCATCTTCTTCCAAGAGGTAGTCGATTTCCGGGAGATGAACAACGTCGAAAGTTGATGCGAGGAGGCTCAACGTATTGGCGTAGATCTTCCAAAACTCCGTAATTTGAACAGCGAGAGGAGTATCCTTTTCTTCCTTATGTGCCACTAGTGAATGACTGACGATAAGAAGCCAGGAACTATAATGTCGTAAAGCAGGTAGTACGCGGCGCGCAACAGCGGTGACCTTGTCTGGCCCGCTCTTCGCGTCTTTGCTGAGCGAGTCTTCGACCGCAAACCTCTCCAGCTCTGCTAGAAGGATTTGGAGCAGCGTGAAAAATGTCTTGACGTTAATGCGCTGAAAAAATAGCCGTGAATTGGACACTGACTCTTCTGCATCCATCAGCGACGATCTCAGTAAATGCGACATGAGGGAGGCTTACCATCGGGCTGCGTCCACGAGAAGTCCTCTGCTGCGATGTTAATGAGGCAGAACTTTTGAAGCGTACCTTCAAGTGAGCGCTCCTTTAGGTCAACGGCTAGCTGGTTCAGTACTTCACTCTCAAGCTCATCATGCTCGGGAAAATCATTTCCTTTGTAACATTGAGCGTGAAGATAAACAAACCAAGGGGCCAACGCTCGCCCAGGAATTCCTGCATCCTCGGGACGAATTAACTCTCTTTTACGCCAAGCATGGCGCACCTTTCTGAATTCGATTTCCAAGTTACCCTTGGCAGAGGGATGAGGCTCCTGGGCAGCTAGGGCCCGGTAAAGATGGTAAGTGGCCCGCAAGTGATTGCCGTCAGCAAGGGCTATTACTGCCAACTGGTTGTGCGATGCGCCTGAAGCAGGGTAGATGGCTATAGCCAAGTCATAGTAGCCAATAGCGGGACCCCAATTGCGGTCCTTGCTCACCAGTTCGGTCTCGCGGTAGCGAGACAGATCGCCAAGACGGATAAGTGTTGAATGGCATGATTGAAGGACACTTGCGCGGAGAGCGTCAGAAGCCTCGACTGGAGGCTGCGCCGATAGATCTAGGTGGGTAACAAGAATTGTCTCAATGAACGCCCTGAAAAATAACGGGGACGACGTTGCTCACTGTCAAAGCTGAACTTCCGCGCAACTTTTTCAAGCTCCGGGATACCTCCGAAGTGCGACGACAACTGCTGTATGTATCCTCGATAGAATCTCTGGCTGGATTTGATAAAGTCAAGGTAATGCTTTTCGAGTTTACGTCTTTCTACCGGCTTCTTCTTCTTTGCGTTCTCCTCGCGAAACTATGCATGCCACAATTGGTCAGTAAACGGCGTCTGCAATGTTATACAAAACCATCGTGACACTCACGCGGGAGAGCAGTTTGCGAAACCGGGTGTTGATTTTCACATGTGCATCCCAGAGTCGGGTCTCAACATCGATAGAGCGAGATGTCTCAAAGTCTTGGAGTATGGCATTCTGACAAGCGGCGCGAAACCTGCGACGGACCGTCAGATCGATGTGGGCGGAGATAAAACAAGCCAGCCTCATTTTATAGACTCACTCGGAAAGGTAATGCGAGATTTCGGTAAACGTAGGCTCCTTCTCGGCAAGGCTCTTTAGAAGCTTCCCTTCGGCTTCAAGCGCAGTCCTATAGTGATGCGAATCAGAGATGTGCCATTCTGTTGCATCGAAAAGTATGTGAAGTACTAACTGCCACGCATTTTGAAAAGCGGACGCCATGCTCAGGGTGGGCTTGATCGTGTCTGTGTCACTCCACCCTCGACTTCGCCCGTCAGATGGCTATGGCTGGCTGAGAGTCTGCGGGCGACGAAAGTAATGAACGATCCATCAGTAGTATGGGCGATTAGGCGCTAAAGAAGACGAATGGCGGGAATTGCAGAACAGTCTGCTGGAGGTGCCAGTCAGGAAGAAGTGACGACGAAGTAAGCCGAGCGAATATGGACGACGAGGGGTTGAGGCCACCGCTCATGGGAATGCAAATCCCATATCACGGGAACTTTTTGAATGCCCGTCCGCAAAAAAGAAATAATGAGGGATGGAGAGTGGAGTGGAGGAGTCGCAATAGGCACTGTTCCTGTGGCTTGCAGCACATTGATTGGTCTGGTTCATCTGTGGCTGGTGTATTTATGCATGCATTATTCATCTGGTATGTAATGCGCTTACATCGCCGTATGTAAGATGCAGTTGATGCCATCATCTCAGAAGAGTCAACCAATCTCCTCATGTAGTTGTCATAGTAGTTCCTCACTGCTCTCACTTTGAAACAGAAACATATACTCTAGATAAACAAAAACCAATAGGTCGCGATGAAAGAATTTTTCGTTTCAACCAAGCGCAGCAAGCAATACCAATGAGCATTGCAGGAGTTCTCTCCCACCGTCCCAGTCTGCATCTCTCCCGACCAACCAGACAGCACTATTGACCCTAGAAAACCAAGAGGAGAAGGGCCAACTCAGAGCCGGAAAGCCTTAAGACATGTCTAAACGCCCTCGCGTCTCAAGATCCCCCTCACCGGGTCAATCACCTGAGACTTGGTCAAGATCACCGTCCCCAGCATCTTCAGCGCCATCTTGTGAACGTTCCAAGGTACTCTTGCAAGACACCGATGAATCTGCTGTGGAAGTGATGCATTGTTCGCTACCTCCGCATAGGGAAGTCATCTCCTTCTCCTCCTATGAAGATTATGAGGTGCACTATTTGCAAACGCACGTCAACCGATGTTCAGAGTGTGGGAAGAATTTCCCTACAGATCGATTCCTGAATTTGCATATCGAGGAGAATCATGATCCACTCGTTGCTGCGAAGAGAGACAAGGGAGAGAAAACTGTTCGTCAGCCCTGGGACCATTGTTTTCGAAATCAATTACTGTGTAACGACGATCACGGCTAACGAGAGCCCCTGCGATGCAGTACAGTTGCTTCATCGAGGATTGCGACAGGAAATGCTCTACACCCCAAAAGCGACGGATGCATTTGATCGATAAACATATGTTTCCAAAGGTATTTTCCTTTTACGATCCTGGCTCCTCACTGCAGCTAATACCTAAGTCCCAGACCTACAATTTCTACGTCGTCAACGACGGGATCGATAAACAAATATCTATGCTGCGGTCACCAAATACACACAGACGACGCATATCGGCTACTGCACCCTCACTGCAGGAAGGCAGGCTGAGAAACCGAAAGACATCCGAGTCGCACTCGCATGCGGTCTCACATGCAGTGTCCAAACAAAGCGTGGGACATGTAAGTCTGGAGGAAACGGAAATTACTCAACTAGAGAAGTCCATGTCCGCGTTGCGATTTGTCCCGGCAAGTGTTAGTAAAAGCCAGAGAAGAACCGGGAGTAAGTCTAGCTGAATTCATGTAACAATAGTTTGTTCCACCGTTAGACTAATGCAAAAATACATCATGAACCGACTCGGCATCTCAAGTTGCGCAACACAGACATAAATGTAACGAAGCAAGCAAGAGAATACCCCATAGTCTTTTCCTCCTGTTAAAAGACATACAAGTATGTTGACGACGAAGGACTGAAACGGCAAGACAAGCGACCGGTCGACGGAGCGAGAACACCAGTATAGACGCCACGTTTCGGATATTATCTCGTTCTCTGGATCCTCTCAATCCCCTTTAACAGTAATGACAAGCTGCTCGGGAGCTATTGCCAGAAAAGGCTGAGCAGTGACGGCATCTTCATCGTGTATGAGCAGCCTGACTAATTTATACACGCCCCAAACCAGCTGGTAAAAAGGAAGGAGTACCAAAAACAAGGGCCTCGAGCACAAAAATAGAAACATAATAGATGAGAGATTAGTTCATAGACGCGGGTATATAGCAACATCACATATCATCCATGTCGATGAGACTGAAAGCATCAATGTTTCGCAGGCCAGTTTGCAGTTAAATGGTATGGTACCCTAACAAGTTCGGAGAACACATAGAGTGCTTGCAATATTCCTTCTTCGCTGGGGACTGGGTTTCTTCAGCGGGCAGATCATCTGTCAGAGTCTGGAAGGCTGCATGCGGACCGATTGCGAAACAGACGGACGAACGTATTCCTGAAGTCATAGCTGATTTTCTAAGACATCTGCATAAGCATCCAAGCTTGACCCGACCAGATCAACTATCGCCCAACTCGTGTTTCCCTTGAAGGTTCTTGCCCAGACCCGGACGATAGCGACGCTTAGTTGTTTGGCCTTGTAAGGATTGGCCATAAATTCCATATCAGGCGCCCCTGGTGGGTCAACGGCCATGTCAGTCTCGTCCATCATACTCTTGATCCACAAAAGTAGTTTCCTTTCATGGTCTGACAACCTCTGCTCCGAGTGCGTAGCTGGTATTGAGAGTAGCCATCGGCTCAAGAGAAAAGCGCATTCCAAACTGCAAAGGGAATGCTGAATACTCCAGAAGAACGAATGGGTTCTCGCCACAAAGTCGATTCCGAGACGTACAGGGATGGACAGTGCATGGGCAGAATGCAGTAAAGCCATAATGAGACGTGGGCTTCTTGCTATGGGCGGGGACTCGCTTAAGGCCCTAGCAATCTGAACTGGGTCTTGAGTGATCAGACGACGACAAGGGCCCAAGTCAACATGCAACCTGATGTAAGCGAGTCCTAGAAGGGCAGTAGAGGTGAACGCAATCGGCCCTGCTGGATTCTGAGGATCAATGCTGGATTCCGGAGTGCGCTTCCATAATGCCTTCCAGGCGCTCAGAGAGTTGTCTAAAACAGTCAAGTCATCGGGTCTGAGACTTGTACCTTGCATAGTGGGCGCAGATAGACAGAGTTGACGCGCGAAAAATATCTGCTGGATAATAGCGTGTATAAGGATATAATTTCCGAGTGGCGAGATTGGTGCCGAAGAGTTCGAGATGCTCGACTTTAAGAACAGTTTGGCGAATGCCTCCTGGAAGGGAACATCCACCCCTGGCCGGGTGCGACTGAGCCGTCTCCACTGAGTCGCATTGCTCGCTTTCCAGACGTCATGAGAGCATGGCATGTTCAATTTCAACTCCGCGTTCAGAATCAGAGGGGGAATGTTGTACATGATGGAATGTAGATTGAAAAAGCAGTAGACGATGAGCTTTGTGCGCCTGTTGCCCTCTCTCCGTATCCACTCCTCCCAACTATTTGGGTCAGGACTGGTCGCTGGTTCGGAGAGTCCATGCTCTCGAACGAGCCTTGCCAACGTACTTTGTAACGATAAAATTTCCCGGAGGAGTTCCGGGTGTCTCTCCCAAGACGCAAAAACTGTGAGAAGCAAGAACGTGCGAATCACTTCCATGTGAGCATCCGAATCATCTGATACATAAATTGAAGGATCGACAGGATGCGGCATAGACTGCTGCTGTTGCTGGAAAGGGCTACTAGCATGATTTGACATGGCCGACGAACCACGCGAGTTGTGGAATCCCGAACTGGGAGAATAAAAATTCCATGTCGGGCATGGCACTTGCTTGCTGTCCCTTCTTCGGAGGCGCTCCAGCAGTATTGTCTTCGCTGCGTGAAACAGGTCGATTCCTCGATTGTTTTCAAAGCGATAATGCGACCCTGCTGCCGCTAGTGCGAGCGTCAGCTCGGGAGAGCATTTGGCAACAGAAAGTGTTGGGACATGTATAAAAGGAAGATGCTCATTCAATCCGTTGATATAGCCAGCAAAGAAGCGAGACAGAGCGTGTCTTGATGGAGGCACGAAGCCCTTCGGAAGAATATAAGCAAACTCCTCAAGTTTGGAAACGAAGACCTGGCGGTCAGCGTTTGAGATATCCCATGCTGGACGTGGACCGTCGTCGCCGAAACCGAGTCGATCGTCCACTTCGTGGGACTCGGGTTGTAGCGAAGGCAAACGAGATCCAAAATTCGAGAATGATGGAGGATCGTCGGCCGAGCGCGGGTCATTCATGATCTCTGTCCCTAGTCTGGACGTTTCACGAAGGGATGGCTTAGAGTCAATCGAGAGAGTAGTTGGCAACATGGGTTCCTCGACAGTGGAAAACACTCCCGAGTCCCAGTCGGATGAGAGACCAACGCTTTCTAAAAAGACAGTGAAGTCTTGGACCGGATCACCTAAGTCAGTGAGATCAAGTATTGACGGTTCAAGCCCATAGTTTTCGGTGATAGGCCTGTCCGTGACATGAGGGATTGGCTGAGGAGGGCCGACGGTATGTGAAGGCTTTCGCATCGACTCAAGAGCTTCCTGTTGGCCTTCAAGAGCTACATGGCTGGCAGCATGAGACAAGAGATTCAGATCGTAACCCCATGAGGGGTTGAAATGCGTTGTCTCTATTATCGGTGCTGGCTGGACATGGACCTCAGGCGGAGGCGGCGGAATCGGCTGTGGCTGGACTGGTATTGCATCTGCAAGCTCGAGCATTCGCGACTCATGATGGGTCGTCTGTATCATAGAGGACGGCGTCGAAGGCACCTCATGATTATTGTGGTTTCGATGTTCTCGACTGGCCGCAGCCTCGGCGGGATGAACTAAGCGCTCATGTCGTACAAGTAGGTCGCTACAGAGTTTTCCCTCATATTGTTAGCGCCAGTCGAGACCTATGCAAGGTAAGATAACAGCCTACCTCCTTGCAAATGATTTGGAGCATATGTCACATGAGAACGGTTTTTCCTTCGTGTCTACGATAATGGATTAGCATTTTCCGTTATTCCTCAGCGCACCCACAGGGCCAATTCCAGGGTTACTCAACGAGTGCGGAGATGTC